ACCCCCACTTTGTGGGGGGGCCGGTTCAAGCTCTACCAAGTTTCCAGGACGACTCTTCGCCACCACCCACACCCAGCTTCCCGCCCTATGACGTTCGGACACTTCACTTCGTGGCCTGCGGACGACCTTGGCTACTACACTGGCGCATGGGTACAATGACTTGTTGTGGTAACATTTTGTGGAAGCTAGCTTAGTATACGACTTATCCCCCTGTTCCAACACTGGACACCTGTACCGTTTTCCGACGTTTTTCCGTTTCTGTACCACACAAGCAAAGATTATTTTGAGTGGTACGACGTGCGTGGCGCCAGCATACCACAGGACTTGTTTCCGTTGTTGTTATATGCTCATTATTGTTCTGTGGTTGTCGTTCCGGCCTGGTATGGTATTATTTGACAGGGATGATGACCCTGGCAGGTGCGCAACGGTTGTTGGAGAAGTTCGAAGCACGTGAACAAGTTGCTCGGAAAAGCCCATTTGACAGAAATGTTTAAAAAGTGTTGGGTTCCCGACAAATCCGCAAGAGCGCGCGGGATGAAATGTTGACACTTTTTTTTTTTGAAAAACCATTGGTTTTTTGATGTTTTTATGTTGAAATCGCTACGAACACTAAGGTTTTGGAAGGATTTCGTCTTGCGCGCGCGAATGTCCACTTTACCTTATTTTTTGCAAGGGATTCTTGAACTTTGGTTATGTTAGAACAAGAAATGTCCACTTTAGCTTATTTTTTGCAAGGGAAAACGGGGGACAACAAAACAACCGGATCCGGACACCCACGTTTTGCCTGAGACTTCCTCACGAAAATGATGAAAATGTGGCTGCGGCCTAGGCGCGGCGAGGGGGCCGCGCACCAGGGGTCCCAACAATAATTATTCTTTAGAATAAATAATGTTCAACAACAACAACAACAACAACAACAACAAACAACAACAACAACAACAACAACAACAACAACAACAACAACAACAACAATAAGTTTAAGACTGTTCGCCCTTATATGCTCGAGTGTCCAATAACGCGTATTTCCCAAACCCTCGATACCCGCCCTCTTCGTCTTCGATCGAACCCCTTTTGGGGGGTATACCTTTCTTCCCTGCAGGCCGGGCCCCGGCAAGCGGCGGGGCGGCCGCGGACCGTCGGCCTGGCCAGCGGCAGCGCTGATCGGCGGGGCGGCCGCGGACCGTCGACCCGACCCCAAGAGGGACGGACAGGGGACCGACCACGACGACGACGACGACGACGACGACGACGACGACGACGACGTCGAAGACGACGGCGACGGCGACGACGAGCGAAAGCGAGAGCGAGAGAGAACGACAGCAGGGCCACGAAGGGCACGAAGTAGGCCACGAAGGGCGACAGCGGGGACACGAAGGGAATGCGTATGGGGCCACGAAGAGCGCGAACGAGCGGGGGCCACGAAGTGCAGATAATGCGGGGCCACAGAAGGCAACTAGAGGGCCACTGAGGGTAGCAACTGGGCCACGTAGGACAGTGAGGGGGGCACAAATGGTGACAGCGGGGCCACGAAGGGCATGCTCATGGGGCCACAACGGGCGCGACTCCTGGGTGCCTGGGTGTCGGGAGCGCGGCGCTTCCGAAAATTACAAGAAATTAGAGCGCGACTCCAGAGCGCCGTGAGAGCGATTCCTGAATAAAGTGTAAGGAAGTCCCCAGCGAGAGCGCGATTCCTGAATAAAATGCGAGGAAGTCTCGGTCGGGAGCGGGGGTCCTGGCTAAATTGTAAGGAAGTCTCAGGCGGGAGCCGTTGTTGTTGTAACCCGGGGGCTAGGGGGCCAGTTTGAGCAGGAAGACTTTCCTTGTCAAAAAACAGGGTGCGAGCGTCGAAGGGCACTCTTTGATTTAGAAAAGACAGTATGCACCGGTGGGGGGGATCAACCATAATTATTCTTCAGAAATGAGAATTCAACAACAACAGCAACAACAACAACAATAACAATAACAATAACACAAACAACAACAACAACAACAACAACAATCATTTAAGACTGGGGACACTCCGTTCTCACCAGTGCCAGGGTTTTCATAGGAGGCGGGCAATACCCCCACTTTGTGGGGGGGCCGGTTCAAGCTCTACCAAATTTCCAAACGACTCTTCGCCACCACCCACACCCAGCTTCCCGCCCTATGACGTTCGGACACTTCACTTCGTGGCATGCGGACGACCGTGGCTACTATTCAGGGCCCCGCGGCCGACGACGACGGCGTGCGCGCGCGAAGAAAAAAACGAATGTGTCCCGCATGGTATTATTTGACAGGGATGATGGCCCTGGCAGGTGCGCAACCGTTGTCGCAGAAGTTCGAAAAAGTTGCTCGCAAAAGCCCGTTTGACAGAAATGTTTAAAAAGTGTTGGGTTTCCTACGAATCCGCAAGAGCGCGCGGGATGAGATTTTGACATTTTTTTGTTGAAAAACCATTGGTTTTTTGATGTTTTTATGTTAAAATCGCTCCGAACACTAAGCTTTTGGAAGGATTTCGTCTTGCGCGCGCGAATGTCCACTTTACCTTATTTTTTGCAAGGGATTCTTGAAATTTGATTATATTAGAACAAGAAATGTCATTTTATAGTGTTTTTTGCAAGGGAAAACGGATTACAACAAAACAACCGGATCTGGATCACATCGTTTTACCTGAGGCTTCCTCACGAAAATGATGAAAATGTAGCTGCGGCCTAGGCGGCGCAGGGGGGGCGTGCACCAGGGGGCCCAACTATAATTATTCTTTAGAATTAATAATGTTCAACAACAACAACAACAACAACAACAACAACAACAACAACAACCACAACCACAACCACAACCACAACCACAACCACAATCACAATCACAATCACAATCACAACAACAACAACAGCAACAACAACAGCAACAACAAAAACAATGATAATAACAATAGCAGTAATAATAATATCAACAACACCCACAACAACATCAGCAACAACAATCACATCAACAACAATAACAATAACAACAACAACAACGACAACAACAGCAACAGCAACACCAGCACCAACAACATCACCAACAGCAACAACAACGCAAGTTACGCCCACCCCCTCGAAGGCCGAACATCGTAATTGGACATGGGCTTTCACAGGGGCCTTCGAGGCCGTGCTGGATCAGAAAGACACCCCACAAGAGGTTGGTGGAGGATTTGGGCCTGTTGGGGAGACGGGTCATTGCGAGATTTCGTAGCCTCTTGGAGCCGTGTTGGGGGCATCTTGTGGTATCTTGGAACATGGTTGACGCGATCTTTAGCCAATTCGGAACAGATTGCGCCATCTTGAGGGATAGCTTGCGCATCTTGGAGGCCAGCTTGTTGTATATGCGGCAATCTTGGAACCACACTGGGACAGAATTGACCCTGTGACACCTCGCAGGCTTTGATAGAACGGGTAACCCTTCCAACCGCCCCTAGGCCACAGCGCTGACGTGTCACGACCACATGTTGGCCTTAGCAAGGCAAGACAAGCCGAGGCGGTTTCCACGATAGTCGCCAAGATGGCACGCGATGGTCCAAGATTGTCCCCGCCAGGCTTCCAAGAGGCATCCACACTGCCAGGCGCCACAAGGCGGCTCGAAGTGGCCACGGAGTTGTCCCAGGATGGCCCCGAGAGGCCAACGGCATCTTTAAACATGCTGCTCAGTAACGTTGGCCTTATCGCTTTCTGGCGTCTGACAGGCCTCCTCCTCATCCTCGTCCTCCTCCTCCTCCTCCTCCTCCTCCTCCTCCTCCTCCTCCTCCTCCCTCCTCCTCCTCCTCCTCCTCCTCTCCTCCTCTCCTCCTCCCCTCCTCCTCCTCCTCTCCTCCTCCTCCTCCTCCTCCTCCTCCTCCTCCTCCTCCTCCTCCTCCTCCTCCTCCTCCTCCTCCTCCTCCTCCTCCTCCTCCTCCTCCTCCTCCTCCTCCTCCTCCTCCTCCTACGGCGCCACGCCGATCGCAAGCCGGGCCCTCGCCCAGCCCTCGCTCCGACCCCCCAGGAAGGCCGCCAGGGCCCAGCGAAACCCCGGCAGAGCCCCCCGGGAGCCCCCCCGGACAGGGCCCAAGAGAGAGAGCCCCAGCAGGGCGAAAAAAGAGCACCCCCAAAAGAGCTCCCAGGGAGCCCCAGGAGCAGGAGGCGGAAGAGCAGGAGGAGGAGGAGGACGAAGAGGAGGAGGAGGAGGAGGAGGAAGAAGATGAGTAGGAGCCCATGTATCGCTCCCCCATGAGTTCGCACCCCAAGCGTGGGTATAAAGATTCCCTCCGCCCGTACGAGAGGGGCAGAGGGACGGGGAGCAGGCAGGATGAGCGGAGGAGGAGAGTGGACAAGGGCAAGCCCAATATTGCTCCCCGCCCTTCGAGCCACCTGGCCGGTGGCGAGCGATGGGGGAAAGCGAGAGGGAGAAGGCCCTCTCAGAAGGCTGCTTGGCCTTCTCCACGTCCGAGGCCCCGCCCCACGTGCCGTGCCGTTCTCTCCGCGGCGGGCGGCCAGGGGCGGGCGCACCGGGCCAGACTGCCAGCCAACACTCTCGGCCCACGGGCATATCGGGGAGAGGTGCCTTGCGAGGCGAGCGAGGCCCTCCTCCTCCTCATCCTCATCCTCCTCATCCTCCTCATCCTCCTCCTACTCCTACTCCTACTTCTACTCCTACTCCTCCTCCTCCTCCTCCTCCTCCTCCTCCTCCTCCTCCTCCTCCTCCTCTCCTCCTCCTCGTCCTCCTCCTCCCTTCCTCCTCCTCCCTCCTCCTCCCTCCCTCGCTCCTCCTCCTCCTCCCTCCTCCGCACCTCCTCCTGCTCCTGCTCCTGCTCCTGACCTCCTCCTCCTCCCTCTTCCTCCTCCTCCTCCTCCTCCTCCTCCTCCTCCTCCTCCTCCTCCTCCTCCTCCTCCTTCTCCTCCTCCCCCTCCGAGGAGGAGGAGGATGAGGAGCAGCAGCAGCACGAGGACGAGGGGCGGGACCGACGAGAACGAGGGGCGGGGCTTCGGACCGCCAGCACCGCCTCCCAGGCCAGGCAGGCGTTGTCGCTGTCGGGGCAGAAGCCGCTCGGGCAGCAGATGGCGTTCGCGGAGACTATACAAGTCGCCGTCGTCGTCGTCGTCGTCGTTCCCCTCCTCCTCGTGCCTCCTCCCCTCCGAAAAGAATTCAAGGCTCCAGCACAACGCTGTTCAGCTCGGCTGTGGCTCCGTTGTGTGCGTCGTGTCGTTGTTCGGGGTTGGTCCGTTGTGTTTCTTTGTCGTGGTTGTTTTCAACGCATTGTTTGGTCAAAGGTCTGTTTGGGGTGAGCGCTTCGTTGGTATTTTTATTATGCTGCGGTTCCGAGGTTGCGTTTCGTTGTTCGATGTGTTTGCTTTGTTCATTCCGCGGGTCGTTTCGTTGTACGTGTTGTTTCGCGCCGGCGCTGTGGTTGGTGCTGTTTTCGAATTGTCTTTCATGGGAATGTAGTTTCTTGCTTGCTGATTCGTTTTGTTGTTAGTCATGTTGTTGATGCAGTGTTCCGCTTTCGGTGGCCCGAGGCCCAGTCATGATTGCACCCTTCGCTATAGCCATAGCTTCTGGGCTTTCGTTTCGTTGTTCGTTTCGTTCTTGCTGTTCGTGCTGCTCTGTTGCGCTCCTGGCCTGAGCTTCAGCCTGGGCCCCAGCCTTTGCCGTAGCCTCGGCCATTGTTCTGGGCGTTCGTTTCGTTTCGTTATGTTGTTGTGTGCATCTTATCTTGCTCAAACCTTCGCCAGCATCTCGCCCCTCGCCCTGGCCATGTTTCCCGGGCGTTCGTTTCGATCTTTCCTCCCCAAAGATTGTTGTTGCGCGCCTGGCTTGATCTTCAGCCCGGGCCCCAGCCACTGTCGTAGCTCCAGCCGTAATTCCGGGTGTTCGTTTCGTCGAATTTGTTCGTGAAGGAGGGGTGATATTACGCCAGAAGCGGAATCCAACTCAAACAAGACTTGGCCGTGTTCCCGTTGGGGCGTGAGGCGCGCTCTACGGGAAACGCATTGCGAGGGAATGCATCACCCCGTGTTGAGGCCCAGATTGCAAGTGGAACGGTTGTTTTTCCTCACCTTGTTTTCTGGTGACCCACCCGCCCGTGAAGCACCTTCAGTGAGGCGCGCGCCGTATGGGAAACGCATTGTGCGGGAATGAATGATGTGGGAATGCATCACGTCATGTCGAGGCCCAGAATACAAGTGAAACAGATTTGAGGAGGCCCAGAATGCAAGCGAAACAGTTGGTTTGTCTCAGCCAATTTTCCAGTGACCCACCCTCCCGTGGGGCACCTTCTGTGGTGCGCGCGCCGCAGAGGAAATTATATCGCGTGGCAATGCATCACCTCATAATGAGGCACAGAATGCACTACATGTTCGGGTCGGACGCGCGCGCCTCCAAGGAGGACATGTAGTGCTAGTATGTCTTTGCACTGAAGGGGTCCTAGCGGAAGCTGAAAGATTTGGCGAAAGTTTCCCGCCGATGTTGGTAGCAGGCTGGGTTCCCGGGTTCCCGGTTCTGGGTTCCCGGATTCCCGGTTCTTGGTTCCGGGCCGACTTCGGTGGGTTCTGGGTTCCCGGGTCCCCCGTCGATCTCCTCAGCGAAAACCGTCCATTGATTGGATTTTTTCTCTGGTGCAATGTTGTATTAGCATGTCTTTCTGCGTCCCAGTGTGCGCCGCGAGAGAGGCCGCCTGCGCGGCGGCCTTGAGGCGCCCACCGCTCGCTGGCGCGCGGGGGGCTGGCCGCCAGCGCGCGGGCCTGGGGGGCCAGGGCGGGATGGAGGGCACGGTGGAGGCCCATGCCTCCAAGGCCTCCCAGATGGGGTCCGAGCAGATGGGGTCGGAGGATCGCGCCGCATCGCCGATGCATCTCCGATGCGGCTCGATGTGGAGCCCCGTTTGTCTCCACGCTGAAGTCGCCATTGCACCGCCGACGTCGCCAGTGCATCACCGACGCATCGCCGATGCATCGACGATGTATCGACGATGCGGCGCGAACCTCCGACCCCATCTACTCGGACCCCATCTAGGGGGCCCCTAATGCCAAGAAACGCCCTGCTCGCCTCCAAGGCGCCCTGGGTTTCTTGGGTTTCGATGGTTTTGCGACGGAGGGCGTGACGGCCCCACACCGGAAGACCCATCGACGTCCTGGGGCCTCAGGGCAGGGTTTCTTGTGGAAGGTTTGTTGTGGTCGGGCCCCCACTGTATGCGCCGCGAGGTGGGCCGTGGGGGAAGAGGAAGAGGGGGAGGAGGAGGCGGAGGAGGAGGAGGAGGAGGGGATGGAGGAGGAGGCGGAGGCGGAGGGAGGCGGAGGCGGAGGAGGGGAGGAGGAGGAGGAGGAGGGAGGAGGAGGAGGAGGAGGAGGAGGAGGAGGAGGAGGAGGAGGAGAAGGGGGGAGGAGGAGAAGGGGGAGGAGGAGGAGGACGAGGAGACGAAGGAGGAGGAGGAGGAGGAGGAGGAGCAGGAGGAGGGGGAGGAGGAGGAGGAGGAGGAGAGGAGGAGGAGGAGGAGGAGGAGGAGGAGGA